ATCAGCTGCACTTTTAGGGATTCAAAGGAGACGTAATACAAACACACAAAGTAGAGTCAGTTTACTTCTTTGTTTTACTTTCGGTGACACAGTTAGAATCATGGCCTCTCTGTTTCAGAGAAACTGCTGTTGGTGTCACATATCTTCTACTACTACTAGACCTGGAGTTCAGCCAGCAGCGCAGCTCCCACAGAAAATTAAAAAATAAAGCTTTTTCCTTTACCTTTTCTCTTCTTACCTCCTTCCAGACCTGCCCAAAGCTGCCGTGAGGATCCTGAGCAATGTGACCTTCCTGTTCGTAAGCCTGTCCTACACAGCAGAGAGTGCCATCGTCACCGCCTTCATCACCTTCATCCCTAAATTCATCGAGTCTCAGTTTGGCATTCCGGCCTCCAACGCCAGCATCTACACCGGTGAGCTGAAGCACGCGCTGACTTAAAGGCTCCTCATCAAATAAGTTAGTTCTGGATTCTCTGAAATCTGACTGAGAAGAATCTGGCTGTTTAATATCTCTGCAGCAGCACAGACAGACCAGAACATTCATACAGGACTTTAATTTCTGCCTGCTTCGGTTAGATCAGCGGGCAGAGCAGGAGGAGCTGCAGGCTGCACACATTAATAATAAAGAAAGTGCTGGTCTTCAAATGAAGGAGGCACCTGGGAGCTCTGAGTGCTTTACACAGTGAATAGTTAGAAACACAGTGATGCTCAGCAATCACTCACTGTCACATGCTGAAGCACACTTTAAACAGGCTGCAGGCTCACGCATTCAATACTTAAACACAAGTGTGTGTGCACATGGCAGCAAGGTGGGCTTTAAATTCTCCATATAAAATATTTTAACCTGCTAATTCTAACATCCTAGTGTCCTAAAATGCTAAAATACACAATGAAATCAGCCCATGAGAGTCCAGGAGTTAACCTGGACAAAATCCTACATAGGCTGAAGAAAATGTGAATAAGTGTAACAGAATGGAGCTCAAGGCTGGATTATGCTCGAAAAGAAGCAGTTCATATGAATATCAGCCAGCAACTGTAAAAACAGCAAGAATGGACTGATTTTAATGTCGCTCGTGGCTTTAAGATTTCAGAAATCACAGTTTTCCATATTAACAGTGAATCTAATGAGTTTGGTGTTGCTCACTCGGATAAATCCACATAAAGTTTGCAGGAAACAAGTTCTACTTAACCTTCAGGTGAGGACAGCTGGGATCTTTCTGCGTGGAGTTTGCATGTTCTCCCTGTGCAGCGTGGGGAGAACTGTCCAAAAACATGTTGAGGTTAATTGGTGATTCTAAATTGTCTGTAGGTGTGANTTCTATGGATTTTTCTATTTTCGCTCTCAAAAAACATCTTCCCGGCAACACCACTTTAACAGTTGAATACCTCCAGAAATAAAACTCCCACAGCCATGTAATGTGGTGAAGACACGGACGGAATTGTTTCCAAATGATCGATACGCTCCAGCAGAGAACACCTTTTTTAATTATTGGTCCTTGAAAATGGAAAAAAAGTGCAAAATTTTCAACCAGTGGTGGTATTGTGTATATATACATCCATATATATATCTGTGTGTGTGTATACATTTCACCAACATTCGAGTCTCTAACATCAGTGGGATTTGATGTGTAGAAAGCAAATCATATTTACCATTTCAACTATATGTACGAGAACATTAATAAGGCAGAATAAGCCTGTTATGTTGTTAAATGTCCACATGAAGACAACGTGGAAGCAGCTTGTAACTCTGCACATTTAAAACTAGCATTTTGGGCGGCTGTGGCTCAGGTGGTAGAGCGAGTCGGTCGATGATCGGAAGGTCGGCGGTTCGATTCCGCCCTGTAACCTGTGTCATGGTCGTTATGTCCTTCGGCAAGACACTTCACCCACCTTGCCTGGTGTGAATGCGTATGAATGGATTGTTTGAGGTGGTGGTCGGAGGGGCCGTAGGTGCAGAATGGCAACCACGCCTCTGTCAGTCTGCCCCAGGGCAGCTGTGGCTACAATCGTAGCTACCACCAGCAGAATGAATGTGTGTGAATGAATAATTGACAGTGTAAAGTGTCTTTGAGTGTCTAGAAAAGCGCTATATAAATCTGATCAATTATTATATAGAATCAATGAACATACGTTTCTGTTTCCTACCAATGAGTCAGCATGTAATCTAAATATCTAAAAACTGGAACCTTGTCTTGTCAGACTTTCCACACATCAGAGTCTACTGATGTTAGAGCCTTAAGTTGATAAAATGTCAATGAAAGACTATTTTTAGTAGAAGTACGGATCCATCCATATATATATATATTTACAGGAACCTTCTGAGGACAAAATACCAGTCTTGGTTAAAAACGTTGCACTTCTTTCCATTTCCAAGGTCCAATAATTAACATTTTGTCCTCTGCTGGATCCATTCAATCAT